GACCACCATAGACATTGTGTTATTCCGTAGTCATTATTTCTGTTTTTTATTTAAAAAATGAAATCATTATTAGAATACGGGCTTCCAACTCAAAACCAATTGGCAATGAGTGGAGAGGCTCATATATCTTATATACTAGTCAAGATCCCTTGTCCTTTCCAATGTGGGATAATATTATCCCTAATACGCCCCCTCGAGATGATGGCTCTAGCCATTGATCTCGGTATGCTCGGGCATGGATCGGCGGGCCAACTATTGGGCCGGGCCGATGGTGGATTGGATTTAGACATGTACGGATCGGGCTCTGCTACCATATTAGAATATGGGCTTCCAACTCAAAACCAATTGGCAATGAGTGGAGTGGCCCATATCCCTTATATATTACTTAGGATCCCTTCCAACTTCCGATGTGGGACATTATGTCCTAATACGCCCCCTCGAGATGATGGCCCTTTGGCCATTAATCTCGGAATGTTCGGGCTTAGATCGACGGCATCAATTTTGGGCCTTCTCGATGATTGGACCATCTTTTGGTCGGATCGGGTTGGGCATGTGTGGATCGGGCTCTCATACCATATTAGAATATGGGCTTCCAACTCAAAATCAATTGGCAATGAGTGGAGTGGCCCATATCCCTTATATATTACTTAGGATCCCTTCCAACTTCCGATGTGGGACATTATGTCCTAATACGCCCCCTCGAGATGATGGCTCTTTGGCCATTAATCTCGGAATGTTCGGGCTTAGATCGACGACATCAATTTTGGGCCTTATCGATGATTGGACCATCTTTGGGTCGGATCGGGTTGGACATGTGTGGATCGGGCTCTGATACCATATTAGAATACGGGCTTCCAACTCAAAACCAATTGGCAATGAGTGGAGAGGCCCATATATCTTATATACTAGTCAAGATCCCTTGTCCTTTCCAATGTGGGATAATATTATCCCTAATAATCATGTCAATATATAAAGTTTAATTGTATTTTGCATCTAGTCTATATATATCATCATTTGTTACAAGATTCTATCATTTATACAAAATTACAAATTATGGTCTACCGTAAAATGTAAATGACCATTTATTATTCACGATGGACTAGTTTTATATATTGTTAACGGATGAATCACCTAAGAGTGCGATACAATGACCGAATGACGAACCACATTCATAATCAACAATACTTTACCTATTGTATCTCCACATAAATTGATTATCGTAACTCTTATTTTTTTGTCGATATATTTGTAGCTGCTGAAGTTCAGAATATGACTCATGAAAGGCGGGAATTATAAATTAATGTGTAATTTTTGTTTTAGAAGAGACAAATACATTCTTACTACGTACATACATGAATAATAGATGTATAGTGTTTAAATTAAACATTTGAAATTACATACAATCATATATATGAAAGGAGGCTATCTCTCTCCATCCTTCCGCCACGTCAGCATTTTTGGCTCTTCTGGAGATGACACATCAGCTTTTATTCGTCCAATCAAAACATTTCATTAATACACATCAGCTTCTAATTATAAGTGTCAAATGGAATAAAGAAAATAACCCATAACGGATGGACCATATGTGTTTTAGAATCTATTAGAGTGCAATATCTATGGGTCGAGCCCATTTCATTGATGGCTTAATGCTTTTAAACCCAACAAATATTCTAATTTCCCACAAGACTTTAACAAAATAAATCTCTCCCACTCTCTGCTCGATCATTCAATATAAAAGAAGAAAAATCTCAAGGCAAATTTCTCAACTTCGTAAATTTCATCATTCATAGTCTCCCTTTCTGTACATCATCTTTCTTTAGAACAAACGTTTTTTACGTTCTAACTGCCAGAATGGAGGCCACGGTAGAAGTTACACAAATACATATTCACACTCACAGCTTATGGAATTACAAACTTTCACTACTATAAACTCTATAAATACTCAAACAGACATTGTTTATACCGGATTATATGTGTTTCAGACAACATCAGTAAATGTTTACCAAGGTGCAAGGAACATAAAGACGATACATAACCACCATCATGTACAACCTACACGAGAATTATAAAATGAAAACATCAGATACAACTCAAGTTGACAATATCGATATACACAACATTGAATAGCTACTCACCTGAATTATCACTGAGGTGGCGGTATTTGTAACAACTGTCAAAACACAAATATTCTGTAGCGTCCTTTTCAGTATCGTTTCATACTCCCTTTCAACTTTGCTATCAATATTCAAAGCAAAATTAATTCAGATCTAAAAACCAAGAATCACTTGTACGTCATACTCAAGCAACAAAACACGCCTCCTGATGAAAAACTAAACGCATTTACGATTACCAATCTATCCGGTTTAAAGCTTCCTTATGACTTCAAAACAAGCCTTCTCAGCATTTTCGTTCTTCTTCTTTCCTGCTTTAGGTCCGTATTGTGCAGATTGAACTTTTGTATCCCCTGAAAATATAAACGAGAGAGTTCAATGAATCCCATTCAAAAAGGATAAAATAAAACTTTGTACCCATAATAGATATTGAGAAAGCTGATAAAGTACCTTATGACCAATTAGCAGAGCCATGAGGACGATGAAGGATATTACGGGAACAAGCAAGAGGTCTCAGCTAACAAGTAAGTCTTTTTCCCGGGTTATATTTCAAGTCAAAAAATAGATCTAATCTTAAAAAATGTAACTACATAAGATAGATTTAGTTTTATTTTTTTTAGGTAGGATAGATTTAGTTTTGAACAATCAATAATTTTTTCTTCACAATTTTCAAAACAAACCCCCGCGTAGCGTGGGTATTCATCTAGTATATATAATTAAGTAAGTAGCAAATTAAGAGAGGCTAAACAGGTTTAGTTTGCCGAGATTTAAATAATGATTCTCTACCAACAATATACATTTTGTTTTCCAAAGCCATAATATTCCATGTTACCATATCTATGGGCTCAAGTCACTCTAAACTATTAAACAAAGAAAAAAGTCACTCAATCCTAAAAAGTGGACCTCACTTCAATGAAATTGAAAAAGAAAAATAATCAACAAACTCGATCGATCTACCAAGAGAATTAAAACAAACACTCCAGCAAAAGTTAATAATCAAACACAAGTGGACCTCGCTTAATCCAAACAAAAACCCTTCACGTAAATTAAATACAATATGGTGGTTCAACTTTTCAACAATCCACATGAAATATTTTATCTTTTTTTGTTTGTTCTTATACATTTGATTGAAGTAATTGGGAGAGAGAATGCAAATTGTAGAGAAGGGGCACTGTAAGTGATGGAAAACTCCACCTAATAATAGTTCGTTTGTTAACCTTTCACCATCAGTTTTTTTTCTTCATTCATGTTTTAGAAATCTATTTTATTTCACCAACCTTTGAAAATTCAACTTCTTACTTCTTGCAAGCTAAACGCACTGTTTTTCCTCTGTGACTTAGTCAGAAATTCGAGGTGTTTATCTTGGATTTGAGTTGTAGGACGTAGATAATTGATTTTGTCACGAGTATATGATCAACGATGATATTATTCGTTTTTAGTGGTCTAGTTTCTCATCTGATAAACTTTTCAAACAACATGTCATATAGTTGTTGCTTTTCAAACAACATGTCATATAGTTGTTGCAAACGATTAAACTTATAAATTATATTGATTAAAGTCAGAGCGAAAAAAAATCGTTTAGGTTATATAATTTTCCATTTTCTAACGGTTAAATTAGTGGCGGCCGGTGTTAGACATTGTTTTTGTTTTCTAGGGTTGGTAAGTACAATAACAATACATTTCCTGGAGTTAAGTAGTTGTCAAGTAGATTTTTAGTTTTGAACAAATTAATCCTTGAGACTTTTTATGTAACTATTAATTTATATGATAAATAATGAAAGGTGATCAAGGGCTGGGAATGTCGTGGTTGCATGCATGGAACTTGGAAGGTCAGCTGCTTCTGCCTAACTTATCCTCCCCGGCTCCCCCAATGATATGACCTATCTGCCCTCACATTATTTCAATCAGATCCTTTATGTCCACAATTATTGTATGAAACAAAACTGTTGCGAGATGGAAAACCGAGATTGATCGAGCAGAATCACTAACCGATCGATATCAATCAACATTGTAGAAAGACCTAGCAGACATTGTAGATGTAGATGTAGATAGTTTTGAATAAATAGTCGTTTATATTTCTAGCTAATGAATGTATTTTGTAACTTCATATTTACAAAAGTTCAATGTAATTATTTTACAACTCTTTTTGCGTTCTTAGAAATATATCATTAACATACGCTCATGATGAATTTGATCTTACCCAAAATTGGTCTGATTAATCTGATCCGAAAAATCATTTTGTTCCATCCATCACCTTAAGAGAACATATATATCAGAAATCCAACATTGAAAATAAAATGAGACCAAAGGTAATTTATCAATAGATATAGATAGGGATCAATCCACTTACCAACTGTAGGTTTTGAGTAAACCCCAAAAGTTTAAAATGTAAAACTTTGGATCGAATCAGTTTGGGTTCAAATTAGATGGCACATCTATTTTGATATCATGTGAAGATTCATGCATGTGCATTCAAATCAAAACCAATGTGTGGATTGATTAGCGTCCTTTTTCTTTTTTACAACGTAACTTTGAATTATGATCAGTGTCCTATAACTATATTACTCCAAAACTATAACTAAAATAATAACTTTGAATTATGATTAGTGTATGTTATATAGTATATCGCTAATCTTGATATGGTGGCTATAAATATCAAGTTTAATAATGTGTGCGCAAATTAAAACGTGTTATATAATGATACCTAGCTTTTTCCGACGAATAATGAACATGAGTTTTAATTTGTATAATAAGATATGTTTGGTAAAAAACAAAAATGGGAAATGTGCTGAAAAAAGGGAAATGTGAACATGCATGAATTTGGTAAAGGTGGCGTAATTAAGGAGTAATAAGGACCCAGTAATATAGTGGATATTCGAGAAGAAACTTTTCTTTGTGAACAAAAACTACCTACGTGTAAGGAAGTTACCCTCTCTATAAAGCCCACATCGCTTGAGTCCTTCCACGACTCATAACTCATAGCAATATCTAGTTTAAAAAAAAAAAAAAAAAGCAAAGAGAATGGAGTACAATAAGCAGAGAAGTATGTTAAAGGTGGTGTTGTTGATGATGACAATGATGTTGGCGTCCCAATCCGAGGCTCAGCTGAACCGTGACTTTTACAAGGAAAGCTGTCCGTCATTGTTCCTTGTGGTGAGACGGGTCGTGAAACGGGCCGTGGCCAGAGAGCCTCGCATGGGTGCTTCTCTCCTTCGTTTGTTCTTCCATGATTGTTTTGTCAATGTAAGTTTTTTTTTTTTTTCAATGCAAAAAAGAAGCATGCTTAGTATTTTCCCATGAATTACTCCTAAAATTTAGTAAATGCTAACAATATGGTTTGACAGGGGTGTGACGGATCCTTACTGTTGGATGACACACCATCTTTTTTGGGAGAGAAAACCTCAGGACCCAGCAATAACTCTGTGAGGGGGTTCGAAGTGATCGACAAAATCAAGTTTAAGATTGAGAAAATGTGCCCGGGCATCGTCTCATGCGCAGACATTCTCGCCATCACTGCTCGCGACTCCGTTCTCCTCGTTAGCACCTCTACCCTTTTACTCTTTAGAAACCCTTAGAACTCAGACCAAAGACGAGCATTTTATAGGGTCTTCTCATCAATCTCAATATTTAACACTTCTTAATATGACTAAACAGTTAGGTGGACCGGGGTGGAGCGTGAAACTTGGAAGAAGAGACTCCACAACAGCGAACTTTGCGGCCGCTAACTCTGGGGTCATTCCTTCTCCGATCAGTACCCTCAGCAATCTCATAAACCGTTTCAAAGCCCAAGGATTGTCCACACGTGACATGGTCGCCCTCTCTGGTGCTCACACCTTTGGACGAGCCAAATGTGTCACATTCAGAAACCGTATCTACAACGAAAGTAACATAGACACCTCTTTCGCCATCGCAAGACGGAAGAGCTGTCCCAGCGCCAACGGCTCCGGAGACAACAAGGAAGCCAATCTTGACGTCCGCTCTCCTGATAGGTTTGACCACGGGTACTACAAGCAACTTCTCAGCAACAAAGGTTTGCTTACGTCAGACCAGGTCCTCTTTAACAATGGTCCCACCGACTCGCTCGTCATAGCTTACAGCAACAATCTCAACGCCTTCTACCGCGATTTCGCAAGAGCTATGATTAAGATGGGTGACATCAGCCCCCTCACTGGATCCAAAGGTCAGATCCGCCACAACTGTCGCAGGCCCAATTGAATATCTTTACTATACGAAGCCGATTGAGTCCAATAATCATCTCTCGTCAACTGTATATTTTTTATGTGCTATCTTCTTCGTCAACTGTTAAAATTAAAATCTACATCTTCTTTATATAAAATAAAACTATAAACATGTACAAGGCAATATAGAGCAAATAGATAAAAGTTTGTGGCTATGCAGTTTTCCATTTTACGTTACTGTCTATATATATTCTCTTCTTACATTGGCTGGTTCAAAAAAGTAAAAATTTTAAATTCAATTGTGAAAGCTGATTTGTTCTAAACTTTATGCTACATAAAAAAAAAAAAAACTTTAAGCTACGATTTATTCAAATGTTATTCACCCAATCAAGCATATGAGTAGATAAAATATGGTGGCAAAATGTGAGCCGTTGGATGAAAAGTGAATTGGCGAATGAGAGGACAAGTGTGCAAAGTCATAAGGTAGACAACGACACAGAGGAACAAGTGGCCTCTGCTCTTCTCCCTCAATTAAAAAAAATTAGATTTTTTTTTTTTTTTTCTGATGTGCGTGGACCGCCAATGACGTTTAACTTGGTTTTCATCTCTTCTTCTTCTTTCTTCTTCTTTCTTCTTCTCCTCCATTTTTTTGTTGGAAAAAAAAAGAAAAACCCAGAAATAAATAAGGAAAGAGAAGGGGCCTTTAGGGGCGGATAGAGAGATCTACACGTCTTTGTACTAGAGATCTCGGATTCATTCCCAGAATCCTCTATCGTCACCGGTGATTGTCTTTTTTTTTTTTCTCTTGATCATATATGTTTTGTTTTCTCCGTGCGAATTGTCGATTACATGTTGAAATTTTGGGTTTTCTGATTGTCGATCTATGCTTTTGTTCTTGATATAGAGGAAATGCGGTCATGGGGCAGAATTACATAACCGGAATGATTAGTTCTGGTTTAGGGCTTTAGTGTTGAAAGTTTGTGTTTTGACTCGTGATCGATATTATCAGCTTTGATTTTCGTTATGATCGAGATTTAGTAAAAGTATCCCATTTGTGTGAGCAACGTTTGTTACACTGGTTGTAGTAGAAGAGAGATCTCATTGTTTTGTTTTTTTTTTTTTTTACTTGACAGGCTCAATTTTCTACCAAGACTCTGGGAGGTTTATTCATATTCGGCACTCTCTTGTTTTAGAAACTCAAGAAATGCTGGATGATGTGTCCTCCTATCACTAGGGCATTAGCTGCACGAGCTCATGAGGTTATGATGACTCATGAGCTACCACAAACTCTGAGCTATCTCTGGAGCAACTAGTGTTTTTTTTGGAGCCTGATAAGTTTGTAGATTAGATGGAAAATAAGCCAAGTGTCTTGACTGATAAATATGATGTTGGGAGGTTATTGGGTCAAGGTACTTTTGCCAAGGTGTATTATGGAAGGAGTATTCTTACTAACCAGAGTGTTGCTATCAAGATGATCGATAAGGAAAAGGTTATGAAAGTTGGTCTTATCGAACAGATCAAGAGAGAGATCTCTGTTATGAGGATTGCTAGACACCCTAATGTTGTGGAGCTATATGAGGTCATGGCAACAAAAACAAGGATCTACTTTGTTATGGAGTATTGTAAAGGTGGAGAGCTTTTCAACAAGGTTGCCAAAGGGAAATTGAGAGATGATGTTGCTTGGAAATACTTTTATCAGCTTATCAACGCAGTTGATTTTTGCCACAGCCGAGAGGTGTATCATCGTGACATTAAGCCAGAGAACCTATTGCTGGATGATAATGAGAATCTCAAGGTATCTGATTTCGGGTTAAGTGCCCTTGCTGACTGCAAGCGACAAGATGGCCTCCTCCACACTACTTGTGGCACACCTGCATATGTTGCTCCCGAAGTGATCAATCGAAAAGGCTATGATGGTACTAAAGCAGATATTTGGTCTTGTGGGGTGGTTTTGTTTGTCCTATTGGCAGGCTATCTACCTTTCCATGACTCAAATCTGATGGAGATGTACAGGAAGATAGGGAAAGCAGATTTTAAGGCACCAAGCTGGTTTGCTCCAGAAGTACGGAGGCTGTTGTGTAAGATGCTAGACCCTAACCCTGAAACTAGAATCACCATCGCAAGAATCAGGGAGAGTTCTTGGTTCAGAAAAGGTTTACATATGAAGCAGAAAAAGATGGAGAAACGAGTCAAAGAGATGAATTCTGTGGAAGCTGGTGTCGCAGGCGGTCCAAATGAGAACGGAGCAGGTCCAAGTGAGAACGGAGACAGGGTCATCGAGGAAAACCAAACAGACGAACCTACAAATTTGAACGCTTTTGATTTAATTGCCTTGTCTGCTGGGTTTGATCTGGCAGGACTTTTTGGAGATGTGTTTAACAAGCGAGAATCTAGATTCACATCCCAGAAACCTGCTTCAGTGATCATATCTAAGCTGGAGGAAGTAGCACAACGATTGAAACTGAGCATAAGAAAGCGGGAAGCAGGTTTGTTCAAATTGGAACGATTAAAAGAAGGAAGAAAAGGGATTCTATCGATGGATGCAGAAATATTTCAAGTGACGCCAACCTTTCATCTAGTGGAAGTGAAGAAGTCTAACGGAGATACTCTGGAGTATCAGAAATTAGTGGCAGAGGATCTTAGGCCTGCTCTGTCAGATATTGTATGGGTTTGGCAGGGCGAGAAAGATGAGCCTGCTTCACAGCAAGAGACAGAACAACAAGAGGAAGAACCATAGTAGTTTTGATATATGTTCTTGTCAAGTTTTGAATTTTGCTTAACACTGAATCACTGATGTGAAACGTATATGAGTTTCTTACATTTTTCGTTTGTGAAAAAAAGGAATCCTGGCATAATATAAAGAAGAAGTCGTTAAATGAAACTCAATGGCAAGACTTTCGAATTGAGAACTTCAATTGCTTTCTCTATTACAGGACGAACAAGAACGTAATAAGCATCCTCCATTCTTTTAGAAAGTGGGATGATAAAGACTTGGACTTTATTGAGATTTAGTAGTGAAGACAAGATCTATAGTAGAGTACAGAGACAATATGTGAATATGGTGCCGTCGATTGCAATTCCATTACACAGTTACAGACAATAGAGACAGATAGAGAGAGTAACAAAACTCAAGAAGAGCGTTTGGAAACAGAAGAGAGATTGTTCCAGAGATAGCGACCACTTGCCATGTCAACGCATGTCCAAAATCCAGACTTCATTGCCATTCCCACCTGACCCCATAAAATCAGAAACCCCCATTAATCCCCCCAAATTATAGATACAATGAAGATCGGAGGAAAAAGAAGAAACCTTGGAGAATCCGGAGACTGAGTCGTCGTCGGCGGGTTCAGCGTCGGTGAAGGAATCGTCGAGAGGATCGTCAGAGGTAGAGTTGAGCTTCTGGAGGACGAAGAACCCAGCGAGAGTCGCTGAAAGGAATATGAGGATAAGCCTTAATGGACACATCTGCTTCTTCTTCTTCTTCTTCTTCTTCTTCTTCTTCTTCTCTTTTCTTGATTTGCTTTTTCCAGTTTTTCTATGAAGGCAACGAAGAGAGAGAGAGAGAGAGAGAGAGAGAGAGAGTTGATGAAGAAGAAGAGAGAGATAGATGAGGAGGGAAAAAAAAAAGGTAAATAACAAAAAAAAAAAAAAAGGTAAGACGAGAAAAATTCAAAGGGTGTAGTTGAAGAAGTGTCAAATTAGGTAGGCCATTCCCTAAAGTCATCTCGAATTTTCAATTTCATATAGTACCTAATTTAACCTTAGATTTCTATTTTATATATGAAGTTAACTTCTTTTTATTTTCTTGTGTAACATTATTATATTCCGACAAAAAAATAATTTGGCCTACTATAATTTTTTGTTGACTAAAGAAAAAGTTAGTGGTTTGGGCAAACCTAATCTGTCAGAACGTGAAGAAAGCATTTTATTATGCTCATTGCTCTTCTTAAGTGATGGCTTTGACAAACAAAAAGATAATAAACAAATAAAAACAAAAGTGATTGTTGACAGTTTTCACTAACTTAGTCGGATCATCATCGTCACACCCATTCACCATCTCTTCCTTATCTCAACATTTTGATTTCTCCCTTCTCTTCCACAACACACATCCTTTATTTTGCCATCAAGAAAAAACAAGCCAAGTAATTCTTTCTAAGAATCTGAATCTTGATTGATCATTATTACTATGGAAAGGGTTAAGAGACAATCCTGACCTTGGTTTTGAGAATCTAGAACTTTGCAAACCTTGCAATTTTGGCAAGGGCAGTTCTTAAGCTTCCTATGCCTGCTCCTGATCTTGAGCTCACCATCATCTGCAATCATTAAACGTTAACCACTTGCTCCTTAGGTCTCATCTTAACAAATTACGTGAATCATATTCATACATACCAGAGGCTGGACAATTGATCTGTTTGCCTTCAACTTCTGCATTTTGTAAATGTTGATATTAGTAAGAACATGACCAACAGATTATTTTTTTTTATTCATTGGCGTCACTATATTCATTTAGAGTATAATGACTAAGACCTCTTCGATTTGCATTGCCCGACGTGCCACATCCATTGGAAAAACCACATCTGTCTTGGTTAAGACTATCTGATACTTTGTATTCGATCTGCAATTCAGTTTTCAGCTGTAAGGACACTTAATCACACCGACATAAACAAAAAATAAGAGCAGCATCGATGATTATACCTCTCCATTAGATTAATAAGTTCCTGGTCTCTTGGCTTCATACCCCATTTGGTGTCAACAAGGAGGCATACCCTTTTAAGACTAGTTCTTGTCGAAACATATTCCTTTACCTGCATTGATCAAAGTTAAACAGATGGGGATCATTGACCTGTTTAGTAATACACAAAACTGAGCAAGCAAAATAGACATAATAAATTCTCTGGCCAGGGGCAGATGCTCACAAGATCTTCCCATGCTTCCTTAACTTCATCTTTTGCAAAGGCAAAGCCGTAGCCTGGCAAATCAACAAGGCGAACCTTCGGACCAAGACCGAAGAAATTGATGGTCTGCACTTAATAGACCCTTTGTTATTACAGAAACATGTATGCCATACAAGCAAGTAGTTCTCAGACAGGGGAATACCTGGGTCAGTCCTGGTTTGTCAGATGTTCTTACAACACCCCACTGTCTGGTCAGAGCATTTAGCAGAGACGATTTCCCAACATTTGACCTTCCTGATCAGAGTTAAGACACCGAATATCCCCACTTTTTAATATAAGTTTGGTGTTACTAAAGTAGTTTAACATGCATACTCTAAAACTCAGAAAAGGTTTCTTGTTGATATTTCTATTATCCTGGTGGGGACAACAATTTGAACGCAGTACCTGCAAACGCAATCTCAGGTACATCAGGAGGTGGAAATGAAGATGAAACATTTGCAGCAGCAAAGAATTCCAATTTATTCCTAAATACCTGCAAATGGGCAAGTCAACATTAGCTTAATAGTCTAGCAGAGAAGGCTTATTATCATGAGGTATTAGAGAAAGGGAATGAAGAATAAGCACATACACTTTCTTCTATACGTTCTCTCTCTGTGCTGGTTGACTGTGGAATATTATCTAATGGAGCAGGAAGCTCTGTGTTGTAGCCGGCCTTCTTTAGCTCAATTAAACGTCTACGCCCCAACAGCTGCCATAAAATGTATGTTACTACCTAGGTAATGAAAATATGCATATTGCGTAAGACACTATAAAGGAGATAGTCATATAAATTACATTTTCTTCCACATAGGAAAGGATCGAATGACTAGGCTGAATTGCACGAAACTGTGCATTTTTCGACATTTCTACGCTTTTCACTGCATCTTTTATGTTCTTGACTCTAAGGCCTTCTGAACAAAAGAAAAGAAACAGCACATTAGGAAAGCAGCAAAGAGATGTAGCCGGTGAAACAGTTTCAAGAAGCACAGAGAACTAACCATCAAGAACGACATCGTCATCTATTCTTTTATTTGAGGTATCATAGGGATCCAGTCGTATCCTCTTTCTCTTCCTTGGTTTATCCTCCTGAATATCTGAACCATCTCCCACAACTCTCTTCTCTGAAAACGCTTGTTTTCTAGCCTTAAAAGACGGCACATCCAAGCTTTTCCTTCGGCTCACATCTGCATTATTATCCAAATCATCTCTCTTCCTGTAGCTCTTTCGAGTAGCATCATCTACCCTCGGTGACTTTGTTTTAAACACACTTGTTGCAGCATCAGTAGAGGTCTTAAAACTAGAAGTAGACCGTTGGTTTCTCTTTGAGGCAGCCCACATGGTGCGTGGGATTTCGTTCACATGGTTATGCTCAGCCTTATTAGGGTAGACCCTCTTCTTCTTCATATACGAAACCGTAGTCTTACTAGTCTTCCGAGAGTTAGTGTCATCATCACTGCGTTGAGTAATGGATCTACTCCTTCCTTTAGAAGAAGAATTAGAGCTAAGTGATGAAAGCTTCAGCCTTATCTTGAGCTTATGACCTAAAGAAGTATCTAAAGACATTCGATGATAATGGTGCTGAAGCAGAACAGCAACTGTGGAGCTACCAACTTAAGACAGCTGCAAATAGTTACACAGAGCAATAAGGCCAAGTCAGATTGCAAAGCCAATCAAATTGTCAGCTTTTTCCACAATTCAAACACAACCCATAGTTTCCGTTTCTGTTGTAGTTAAAAAGCGCATGTCAATTCAATTCAGAGAGTTTCGAGAATTGAAGACGAAACAGAGAGAATCAAAAACACTTTCTAGTTTTCGGTTTGAAAAACAAACCTCTCGGAGACAATGTCGAAGAAACAGAAGAAAGAAGCTTCGTTCCCTTTGCGACGAACGCGATCAGAAAGAGGCTTTGGATAAATTGAAAGAAATGAGATTCCCCAGGGTTTAGTTGTTTTGTTGATGCTCTGCCCTCTGAGGGTTTTGGAGCTAATGTCTCTTATTGGGCTTCATCTAAGTAATGATGGGCTTTGTTGGGCCTGCGATGGATTGTTGAAGGAGAATGATTTATTGGTACCAGTGTTAAGTTGACTTTTAATTCACCAATAAGAGACATTAGCTCCAAAACCCTCAAAACCTTCAAAATAAGACAATAGCTCCAAAACCCTCACTGGGAAATGCGATATAGAGGAAAGAGTTTTACTTCTAGAGGAAACTGCACGATTTTCAATTGAACCAATTAGTATTAGTTTGGTGAAGACAAGCAACCAAAATAAATTGAGTTTAACGAAAATAAAACGACAAATAAAAGGGGAAAAGCCAGAACAAAAGTGAGGAACATGACAAGAAGTTGTAGAGAATAGAGTGATAATGACATCACCGTGAACAATTATAACACATAACAAATATGTATTAAACCAACATATATGTTCATGGGAGCTCTCATAATCTTACTTAGCTTTGTATCTAATGAGGGTCTAAAAGTTCGGGCAATATCTAAGGAGGGTCCGAATGTTAATATGTTACTACATATTTGACTACTGTTTTGTTCTGGTTTAGATGTTAGTTGACATGCGCAAAAGAGAGAGAGAGAGAGAAAAAAAAAGGTAACATATTGAGACACTGACTACAAAGGTTGCATCTAGAACTACCCCACGAGCATATTACTATTTTATGCTCATTCATCATTACCATTTACTACACAAAATGTGAAAGATCCTTTCTTTGAAGTTGATAAGTCACAAAGGTAAAACTCCACAACAATTTAAAACCCATTGCGTAAGATTAACAAAAGATGTTACCTCTACCCACGGACTAAGTTCCTCCGATATATCCTTCAAATCCACCTACGAAGTTACAAACTTCATATTACTCAGACTTCGCATATAAATTATTTTAGTAAATGAAGTGAATTTTGAAAGAAGATGCTCACCTCTGTTCTCTCCGCAGGGTTTGTATTCTTTATATCTTTCCATGATTTACCATACCTGCACACCAACAGAGCCAACAAGATGATGTGATATAACCTAGATGTATCGCTATAGATAATGATAATACGGGACTTGGCAAAGAGTGTTGCATACTCTCTTTAACTCTTTACCACAGAGCTTCCACTTCTTCAGGCGTCCAGAATTTCTTTGGCCTTGTGAAATGGGGTTTCGCCAATCCGCCCTTTCTCTACATTCAGAGGTACCAGGGTTGGTAAATGAGGCTGAACTCTGCCAGACAATGTTCCCTGACTATACGAATCTTTCTCATGTACATTATCTTGTCTCTTCGCAATCAAACCACAACTTCATGAACCAAAGAAGAAGACTTTAAGAAACCATCTTGAGGGAAAATTCACCGGTGCTTCATTGTGGATTGCATTGCCAGGTTTTTGTCCTTGACTAGTGGAAGGGTCAAGTGTCCTTGAATCTATAACAAATAATCCTGCAGCTCTTGAGCAACCATTTGATCTCCGTTATCAAGACTTGGTTCATGTGCCTGTTCTAGTGCACCCGTTGTCTGCTGCTCGTCCCCTGCATTCACCTTATCCATCCCACTCCTTGAATAAAGGCCTCGTGCTTACATCAACAGCAGTTGGATCCCCTCTCTCTTGTCAACAAAATCGACCTCGAGAGGAACTCCCAAGAAATGCCCGTTCTTTAAGAAGCTGAGTGTGAAAGGAAACGGCCATGTAACCTAATGTTAGAATCTCGAATTCCCTGATAGAGCTCACGATCCTCAAGCGCGCCTTCTTCAAATCACGGCTCACCGAATCTCCATTAGTAACGGAATGTTGCTGCAGCAGAAGCTTATCCCATTGATAAAATGATTCTCCATTAATCTCGAGGAGGTCAAGCGTTGGGAGTCGGAGGAATCTACCAGTTGCAGCGCCGAAAGCACATTCACAGGGGAAACCCTAGGATTGTGTTGTCGAAGGAGGAAAAATTTAATAACCCATTGATCAGTAACTAACTTCCATTTTGATAGCAAAGTTGTAACCTTTTGCTGATGCAATGTCGCCGGAGAAGACAGATAGATTTTGTTAATGGGCCGATAGTTGGGCCTGAAGTCAAAGCTGATCAAACGGTGCGGATGACAAACAAGTGTCATTAACAAGTGCGTATGTAACAAGAGAAAACTGTTGATTCCTGCAGATAGGAATGAAGACATAATAGTTTCCGTCCTTACCTACCAAACAACTTTAGATCATTTCATCCTCGATTATAAGTAACTGAAAATTCAACTTAAAATGTAATTTCATAATATAAGTAGGCCTGGGCACAAGTACTCGTTACTCGGTTGATACTCGCAGCTCGCTACTCGGCTCGTACTCGCCTTGAAAAAACAAGTACCCGGTGTTGTCAAGGCAAGTACCAAGTAATATAATTTCATTACTTGCAAATAAGGGTCAAGTATCAAGTATCATAATTTTTTTTGATACTTGGCTCGTTACTCGCCCCGTTTCGATACTCGCCCCGTTACTCGCTCCGTTACTTGCCCCGTTACTCGCTCCGCTACTCGTCCCGTTTCATATTACAAGATATAAAGACCATTAAACATTTAAACCCAAGTCTAAAATTATAAAACCCAATTTTGAATACCCGCAAGTACAAGGCAAGGATCAAGTACCAAAAATAATTCGGTTACTTGCCTCGTTTCTACCCGTTACCCGTTTTGATAGTGCCAAAATGTGAAAATATATCCCATATCTGAGTTTCCAAAGAAAAAAAATCTTTGAATTTGCCTTTTTAATAAACAAACACACAAATTGGACTTGTTTTAGTTACCTTATTAAGAAAAAGGCCCATAAACGAAGCCCAAAATACTAAGTTAATTTTTTGATAGTTACCATTGTCCCACATCGACAAAAGATGTACGATAACTAGAAACTTTTCCTTATATAAAGAGTAAAATTATTCATTAAAGATAACAAAATTTGTAGGCTTTTACCATTTGAAGCCCACAAAATTTGTAATATTACGGGTACCAAGCCAAGGCAGGTAACTCGCGGGTTTGTCATATTTTGACAAGTACCCGTCACTGCAAGTACTCGTTTAGAGCGGGTCAAGTACGGGTCTATTTTGTAGATACCCGGACGGGGCGGGTCGGGTCACGGGTATAGCCAAAAACCCGGGTACCCGGCTTGTGCCCAGCCCTAAATATAAGTTCATCATCTGATTTAGGCATAAATTATGAAACTAAATAGCAAGTGTCACATAATACAAGTTTTCTTATAAAACATATATATTAAAATAAACTGGTAGCGGCAATTGTAAAACGACCATTCTTAGCTCTGGTTTTCCGCTTCAACTTTTTCATGTGCATTTTTGCTTTCCACTTTTCTACGAAGCTCATCTCGAAGGAGGATGGACTCAGGTGACCTGCAGTATCAAGAGCAAAAGATAACAACAAATTAATAACAAGTTACGTTCTTAACTACGATTCAAATGACCAGGAGTGTACCAGGGGTGTATATGACCACGGCAAGTTCTCACGTAGTTGACGTATCTGCGGTTGGAAAGAATACCATGACAACGTTTACACCCTTTAAAGTTAGGATAGGCAACATATTCGACTGTACGTTTAGCCATCCTAACCTCAAGCCTCAAACTTCCCAAGTAACTTCCATCTAGTGCTAACGCCTTCTCTTCGTCCTCACACAGATCAATGAAAGCAAATCTGAAAAAAGAAAAGGAGTAAATATTCTTCTCGTTTGCATTTAACTTTTAAGTTGTCAGAAATTGGAGGAACAAGTCACAAACCCTGCGGGAGAACCAGTTTGACACTCTATCGGAACAAAAACCCTTGAGATCTCTCCACATGAACCAAAGTATTTTTTCAATGCGCTCTTGACATCATCCCTAGGAAGGGAACAATCGAATCCCCTAACCAAAATGGTTCTCTCATTGTTTCCAAATGCATCTTTATCTTCAAAACAGCAATCATATTCTTCCACCTTTTTTGGGTCAAAACAAGATATTTTTGGAGTCAATTCCCTAGGAGGTTAATATTTTCAGGTTTATAAACATAAGGAAGCTCTTAAAAATACTAATATAAGCTCATTAAAAAAAAAAACAAAAGCTAGATGAATCTTCACTGCTTGGAGACTTCTTAGTAGCGAATTCATTTTCATAAACACATATTTAGCGTAACTATTGAAGACAAAAAGCCTTTAAGAGGTTTGTGAATAACTGATTAGCAATCTTTTACCAAGAATAACAAAAGATGTTTTGCTTACTTTTTTCAATGCAGTTTTTTCATCTTCATCAATTTCCTGCACAAAATAGATGTCGTTCAAGGCAATAATGAATGAAATATCCTATGAAAAATTCATAAAGAGAAAAGTAGAGCCAATGAGGTTTAAGAGGAAGAAGTTCTTAAGTTTCAAAGGCACACGTCTTAAGTTCTTAAGTTTAAAACAGGTTAAGTTAAAGGCTGCCTAAACTTGATGATCAGTTCATAAAAATACAGAAATTAACGAATCTGAACTGCTTTAATTATCATAAACAACTAAACAAGTAACTAGAGAGCCTTTTGAAATATACGTGAGAAGCAACTATAGCAGTTAGCACAAAGGATCATGGATGGGTAAATTTGTAGATAGTGTAAACTTTCTAGGTTCCCAGAATTTAATCTTCAACATGTAAATCCGCTTTTGTGGGCATTAAATCCACCAATACGTAAAAAAAATTCCTCCTTGCTTATAGCCATCTTAGTAGCAGGATTTGATTTTCATAAACAAGTAAAGTGTAAACTTATTAGGTTCCACAGAAGATTACCTTTTTTTGCTTCTTCAGAGTTACTTCCAAATCATCCAAAACTTTCACACAGCAAAGGAAAAAAATTAAAATCTCATTCAAAAATCCATAGATGTCTGTTTCTTCTACATAAGAAGAAACATAAGCAGAGCACTTATAGTTCGAATTGCAAGACACTATATGACTGAATAAAACACATGCATAAAAATAAAGGATAGTACATAATTACTTACCATTCTGCGAAGGCTCCGTGGTAGATTCAGCCTAAAAAAATATCAAAAACAAAAGTAAAGTCCATTCAAATTGAGAAGAAATCATTAATACAGAAAATTGGTTAAAGACTGAGTAAAGAAGAAGGTCATAAGGAGAAAAAGATTACATCTGTGGATGCGGAGCATTTCTTAAGCCGCTTGCCCATTGAGAAGTTGAGATGAAAAGACAAGAGCTAGATGACTAGATCTGAACTGCTAAGAGACGAAAACCCTAGACTGCATTTTATTAGCCTGGTTTCAGCTGGGCTTTTGTGGGCTACTTATTTTATCCCCGTAATGTGACAGTGGCCCATCGAGGGGGCGAAAACTGCTTACCAGAACGAAAGCATTCGTGAAATCTCAGCCGTCAATGTTTTGACTCCAACAAATTGGAACCATTAGATTTTCTTTTCCTATATCTATACCGGAATCACTAAAAAATAAATAACCTTTTTGTTGTAGAATATTGGAAAAAACCCGAAAAAACCGTCATCTATTTTTTTTTTGCCGTTTAATACGTGTACTATTAAATTTGGAATAAAAATACCTCGTTTAATTTTGGTTGTCTTTTAAAATCTTCGTTTTAAAAAATTGGTAAAATCGTACCCCCGAGTTAACGACTGTTAACTTTGCTAACGGAAACACTAACTGCGGTTAAACCTTAACGCATGGTGTTTACGTATATATATATAGAATCGCTTTTCCAACTTGCACAAATATATTATCTTAGTCTGGTGGTTATACGTGTGTTGAATATTCCTCTCGAACCTCACCTCCGTCACTTTAAAACGTTTTTTTTTTTTTTTGGGTCTTCGTCTTCTTTGTGAAGTATATGCGCAGACTAAGCATCTCCTTTTCAATCCTCGATTTTCCTCAGTTTCTGAATCTTAATCCATTGTTTGTTTGATTAGCGCCTCTGCAATTTGAGAAGTTCATGGAAAAAGTTTGGATTTTTTCGAGAAAAATAGTATTTAGGGATTTGGAATCATACCCGAGTAAAAAGAAACTTATGGGTTTAAGGAGTTTAGGAATCTTAAATCACTTGTTTGATTTGATTATATATGTCTGACTTTGGGTTTTGAATGTTGTTTGATTAGATCCAATTGTGAAGTTTTTGATGGAGCAAATGCAGATCTGAGATTTTGTGGACACTTTTGGGTAGATCTAATTTCTGGAGAGAGATCGAGAATTGCTTTTGTTTTATTTCCAGATTTCGTTGAATATTAAGATACATCTAACTAGTGTTCTTCACATGTGAATAGATTTGCATTTTGTTTCAAGAATTTCTCAATTGAGTGCTCTGATCTCTGAGTTTCTGGGTTTTGGGTTTGGTCTGGAAGCCATTGAGTAGGAGAAGAGGAAGACAAAAGAGAAGGAGAAAAAAAAACTAAAAAAAAAAACGTCAATATGGACAAAGGGGATTCGAACCCAGGTTTAGTTGGGAAGTGTGCCCATATTTAACCATCTGGCCACAACAATATATTCGTAAGTCTTCGGACAGAGAATGTATATATATACTTAAATACCATGGGTTAAGTTTTAACTGCAGTTAGTGTTTCCGTTAGCAAAGTTAACAGTCGTTAACTCGGAGGTACGATTTTACCAATTTTTTAAAAACGAAGATTTTAAAAGACAACCGAAATTAAACGAGGTATTTTTATTCTAAATTTAATACTACACGTATTAAACGGCAAAAAAAAAAATAGATGACGGTTTTTTCGGGTTTTTTCCGTGTAGAATATTACATGGACTACCATTAATATTTTTAATTTGAAAAACAAAAAATCGGAAAATGGTGTTTGTGTCCATTTGATATTTGTTTTTTTATATTAAAAAAAAACCGAAATTAAATCAATAAATTATTAACTACCCAATATTTATGAAAATCATTTGAAGTAGTTTCTATAAAATTAAAAATTTAATAACTACCCAAAATTTATAGAAATTTTTTAAAATAGTTTCCATAAAAAAATCTAACTATTAATTTCAAAAATTGTCTATATGTAAATTTATTTAATTTCGTATTATATTTTGAGATATTTCCGGAAACAAAAAAAATTTAATATCATCATATATTTTAGATTTTAATCTATTTCTTTAAGAAAATATACTAATAAATTCTGATTCGTATAGATGGAAGGAAATTTTTTTGAAATTGTATATAGGTTGACTTATTTAATTTGGCAAGCTAATGTTAGATATTCCAGAGACAATCTAATTTAATATAATTAAAAATAACAAAGCATAATTTATTTTTGATTTTTAAAATTTCCATAATAATAAAGTGATATCAACGGACCCGTAAAGATTGCTATGTATTATATAAATTAGGATCTTAAGCTTCTTCTCCAAGGTTAGCTCAACCTAAACCGGAAAAAAATGTCTCTCTCTTGCGAAGCTCGGGTTTTGCTCACGGAGGAAGAAGATGTCAGAATGGAGGACGTGGGCCGGCGACCGGATGAAAAAACTCGTGGGTGGCGAAGGCTCATGGATCCAATGAAGGTGGGAGTCACGCGCCGGAGAAGGTCTTGCGGGATGGTGTTGTGGAGGATCGGACGGAGAAGCTCGCGGGGTCTTCGTCGTGGCGTGGTGAAGGCACAAGGATCGATTGGTGGTGGGAGTCAGGTGCCGGAGAAGGTTGCACGGGATGGGTTGATGGAGGCTCGGAGGGAGATGCTCACGGGGTCTCCGTCGTGGGTGGGGAAGGCTCATGGATCGATTGGAGGCGGGAGCAAGGCGGTGGAGAAGGGCTCGCGGGGTGGTTTGGTGGAGGATCTCACGGAGATTCTCAAGGAGCCACAGTCGTGGGTGGAGAAGGTTCAGGGATCTAATGGTGGTGGGATTCAAGCGCCGGAGAAGGTTTTGAGGGATGACTTTGTGGAGGCTCGGATGGAGATGACATTTCCGAATGGGATAGACGGCGAGGCTGCAATCACGATAGGGCAGGAGGTGATTGAGGCGATGAATGGCTTGTACCGACAGTGCATGATTGTGAAAGTATTGGGTAGGCACATAACGATTGAAGCGTTGAATCGGCGATTGCGTGAGCTTTGGAGGCCACAGGGGAGTATGTTGGTGCTGGATTTGCCGAAACAGTTTTTTATGGTAAGGTTTGAGATGGAGCAGGATTATTTAGGGGCGGTGACGGGCGGTCCATGGAGGGTGTTGGGTAGTATCCTCATGGTTAAGGCCTGGTCTCCGTCTTTCGATCCGATGTGTGATGAAATTGAAACGACTCCGGTATGGGTACGGATTTCAAACTTGCCAGTGAACTTTTATCATAGGGCTATCTTGATGGGAATTGCAGCAGGGGTAGGGGCTCCGATCAAGGTAGATATGACAACGTTGAAGGTGACGAGAGCAAGGTTTGCTCGGGTGTGTTTGGAGGTCAACTTGAAGAAGCCATTGAAAGGGTCAGTGTTGGTCAATGGTAACACGTACATAGTGTCTTATGAGGGGCTGAATAATATCTGTCCTATTTGTGGAGTTTTTGGGCATGCTGTGAGTGTATGTCCAAGTCGGGTGTCGGGACGGATTGCTCAGCAGAAGCAGAAGGAAGTTGGTCCGAATCGGGGGGGGGTGAAGAGTTGGGTGTTAGTGTGGATGGTTTTACGGAGGTGCGGAGACAAGGGAGGCAGGCATTAGCTCCACGTGTGGTGTTTGGGGCTGGAGGGTCGGGTGGAAGTGTGGGGATTATAGATAATTCTCAAGGGAATGGGCATGTCTCTGGGGAGTTAGTGACTTCCAATAGATTTATGAAGTTGGGAGGAGAGGAGGAAGTACCGATGATGCAAGAAAGAGAGAAGGCGGTGGCTGAGAATAAAGAGAATGAGGCTTTTCAGAATTTGTTAACCACCGGGATACCTTTGGTCCAAGGTCAAGGGAAAGTGCAGGAGGGGAAGATCACGGGTGAAAGAATTGGATTAAGAGGAGGTGAGTTTAAACAGAGGAGTATGGGAACAAAATTTGTAAGGAAAGGGAAACCAGGGAAGCCTAATGCATCCATGAAAGGCCTGGTGTTTGGGCCTATAAGAGGAGAATCAAGGGTTTTTAATTCTGGGAAACGACTAAGAGTGGAACAGGAGAATGTTGGCAGACTAGGTGGGGTTTACAGTATTGGCAGTCCGGAGATAGTAGCAGGGGAAGGCCAAATACAGGACAGAAACAGCTAAACTGCAATATCAGGGCAAAAAGAAAACAACAAATAAATGACAAGTTTCCTTCTTAACTAGGATTCAATAATCAAGAACAAATTAACGTACTTGGGCATCCTAAGACCTCCATTAGTTGCAACGAAATGGTCATGGAAGCGCTTCCTTTGAACAAGGACACAACGTTCACACTTTTTAAAGTTAGGAAAGATATCAGAACCGCTTCTAGTATTATCCATCGCAACCTCAAGCTTCATACTTCCCAAGTAACTACCATCAAGCTTCATATAAAGTTACAAAATTGGTATCACTCACACTTCGCAGATATCTTGTTCAAGTAAATGGTGAGTATTTATTTTTGAAAGGAAATGCTCACCTCTGTCTTCTCCGCGAATACTGCAGGGTTTCCATTCTTTATATCTTTCCATGATTTACCATACCTGCACAACAACATCAACAACAAAACGACAGTGCTATAATCTTAATGAGGTCCTAGATATATCACTAATGAATATTGATAATAGAGTACTGGACTAGGCAAAGAGTGTTTGCATACTCTTTTTACTCCTTCCCTCAGAGCTTCCACTTCTTCAGGCGTCCAGAATTTCTTTGGCCTTCTGACATGGGGTTTTGCCAATCCGTCCTTCTTCAATGGAGATACATTCAGAGTTACAGGGGTTGGTAGACGAGGCCGAACTCTGCCAGACCACGTTCTCTGACTATCAGAACCTTTCTCATTTACATTATCCTGTTGGTTCACAATTAAACCAAACCTTCATGAACTAAAGAACAATACTTTTAGAAAGTATCTTAAGGTAAAATTCTCTAACACTTACTGTTGCTTCATTATGGTCTTGACCGCGTGTTCCAGTCCTATTCACCCGAGTAGGCTGAGGAGTGACATCTACTGAGTGATTAATTGCAGTGTTAGGTTCTTCCCCTCGCCTAATGGAAGGGTCGATGTGTCTTTGAATCTCTAACAAATAATCCTCCAGCTCTCGAGCAACCATTTTGTCTCCCTTATCAAGACTTTGCTCATGTTCCTGTTCTTGTGCACTCATTGTGTGCTCCTCCTCTGCTGCATTCACATTATCAATCCCATCATTCTCCAGACATTCCATTCCATCACCATCAGTAGCGTTCTCTCTATCAATCCCATTAACGTCCTCCCTTTCACCACGCGACTCGTCCCCCCCAGCCCCCTCTGTTTTCAACAACATCACCCTCTACGTTCACAGCCTTGCCTAAAAGAAACCTTCTTTGAGAAACTGATTCAAGAGAGAAACTCCCAAGTAATGCCCACTGTTCTTTGAGAAGCTGAGTGAGAAAGGAAATGGCAGTGTACCTGATATTA